GTGTATTAAAGTGTGTAACCCATTTTGCATTTGCGTAATGGCATCTATATACAAATTCTCACGGTTCCCAATCGTATCAGTGTTCCCAGTACGTATTATAAACTGCGATTTTTATTCAGAATCAGAGAGCGATATTAATGAGCCGGGTGGGAAAGGGTATTTTTGTGACCCGTAAATGCAGTGGCGTAGCCAGACTATAATTTTTGGGAGGGCATATATCGAACGCCGAAGGCGTAACCCTTTTTAGGGGGGTCCGGGGGCATTCTCCCCCGGGAAAATTTTGAAATCTGGAGTCCCTCAATGGCGATTTCCCGTGTTTCTGGGGAGAGATTTTGCATAATGCTGAAGATTATTTACTGCAGGAAAGACCTGATTTTTAATGATTTCTTAATTTGACTCAACGAAGTTTACTTGGTCGCGTGTGAATAGTTAAATCGAAGTTTTAAAACGCATTTTAACCAATAACCACCATAGGCATTATTTTCTGTAGTTAGATTTAGGAAAGATTAGAACTTTTATAGACAATTTGGTGAACAGATGAGATTGGTAGTCACATGGGTAGTCATCGTCCCCCCCCCCCCTAATTTCTACCCGGATTTCATCTTTTTACAAGGGCAGTCCATCAGCCTATTGGGGAGGGGGGCTGAGCCCCCCCCCCCCTTGTCTACGCCACTGCGTGAATGGTCAATATTTGATCGTGTGAAATGCTTGATTTTACTGTCATGATCTGACGTGATTTGTTCTACAGCCGTGAGGCGTGATTTTCGATCAAAAAATGCTCCGTGAAATGGGAATTAAAGATGTCTGTTTCGTGAACTGTAATTTTGATTTGTTTATTCCAATCTATTTTATAATAGTGATAATGGACATAATACGCGATAATAATTTATATGATCGATCTCACTCGATTGCACAAGAGTAGAAACTTCGGAGGCCTTTCGGAGATCGTCGGACGTACTCATCACTCAAACTTGTAAGTAGTTTTTAACTGCCAGGCAGAGAAGAGAACTTAAAGCGTAGTACTGTACCATGCATTAAACATAATCTTAAAGCTATTATTATTATATTATTTATATGTGAAATGTGAAATTGCTTTTTTATGGCACGTGAATTGTGAAACGGTATTTTTTTGTTGTGAAACGTGAATCATACCCCCCCCCCCTTTCCCACCCTCATTAATCGATGTCGAATTTACAGAAGTGTGGGACTTTCAGTGTTAAGATTGGGGATTTTAGGGATACCATTAAGGTAATTTGTGGATAATTGAATTATTGAAGTCAAAGTTGTCAGAACTGGTTTGTATCGGTTTGTATTTTGCATGTATACTTCCGGTATTGTTAACCAAGGCAGAACCGAAACACTCAACAGAAAAAACTAAGGGAAACTGAATTTTTCTTTCAATATAGAGTATTGCTAATTTAGAATTTTTTTGTGCTCGATATTTTTTTTTGCTGGTATTAGTGATGTTCGATTTTTTTTTCTTCCATTCGAGACATGCTCGATATTTTTTTTCGGATTTGCGCCCCCCCCCCATGAAAAATCAAATGGTCCGTCCCTAATGTCCAAGCCAAAGCTGCGTTGTGGCATAGTCATTACTTGAACAGCGATGATTATCATCCATGCAAACATGCATGGCATCGTATAGTTGCCAAAATAATGTGCACATGTGCG